CCCCAAAACCCCAAAACCCCAAAACCCCAAAACCCCTCAAGTAGAGCTTGAAATTGAACAGAAAAATAATTATTAATATATCACAGAATGCAAAACTTGTCTGAAACAGCCACAGTAAATGAAGATATCAAAACTAGGTACCAAATGAGCATCTTGAGTCATCAGTTTTATCTCATTTTAATAGGAAGGTAAAATGCCCCTATACTTCAACATTGCTCCAAGAATAAACTTCTAGTTTGCTTTCTATGAGAAGACTAGTAATTTATATATCACTGCAATAAATCATGCTCTGAAGCATTACTATTGATTGTTTTGCTCTAATAATATACTTTTGGTCTATACAAAATATGAGAAGAATTTGGAGGTTAATGTTTCATCTCAATTAAAATATGTTATCCAAATGTAAAAATCATACAGTTTAGAAACATCGGTGGTACAGAAACACATGAAAGTTAATGATAAGATTTCAGATGATGTTTACTACAATATTTATTCAAAGGAATGAGAGAAAAAGATAGTTCAGACCAAATCTGTTGATGATAAGGAGATATACTCCCATATTGATCTGAGTTTAAATAGATACAAAAATATCCAATTTATGGGGGCTTTGCAACCAATTTCTTTAATGAATACAGAGTCACTATTGCTAACAATGATGAAAAGTAAAAGCAAAAATCTTTCTAAATTTCTATGCTCTTCTGTTCCTCAGAAAGTATCAGAAGTAATTTTTAGTTCTTGTATCAAGGAAAGATTTTTGTTCTCTAAGTACTTTAATCAGACCATGAGATCCAGCTCCAAAATTCAAACAGATGCATGCTTTGCTGAGTTTGCAATTAGTTTTCGTCAATTAAGAAGATTAATAAGTGCATACAGACATGTTGAGTATTTATATCTTCAAAATTGCAAATTATCAATCCCTGTTGTTCCCGATTTCTCTCAATCTCTCAAGAACGCCAAGATCATTAAGCTAGATATATCCGAATCAGGACTCAAAAGAGCCAGTGATTGGAAGATTAACCCTCTCGAACTCGATAACCTGATTAAGGGTTTAACCACATCTGAAGATTTAAGAAGGACTCTCATAAAAATAAGATTAGAGGATGACATCAGAGAGAATAGCTCCATTTGCCAGATTCTTCATGAAAGAGGGTTTCATAAAACTAAAGTAACTCCTCACCTCTAACCCTCCCTTCCACTTCCCCTCCCCCAAATCCCATTCATCAGTTAACCTCCTTCCTCTTCCGTCTCTCTAAATCCTCCATTCAGCCTAAATTTTCCAAAATGTAAGTTTAAATTGTACAACTTTGTACAGTGAAATTGGGGTTTTGGGGTTTTGGGGTTTTGGGGTTTTGGGG